CCGGCATCCCTCTGCGCAGGGCGCTGTGCTGCTCTCCCTCCTTCCCGGAGCCCAGGGGACTATAGGGCAGCAGCAGCAACAGTGATAGCATGATGGCCCCTGGCTCAGGAGTGGAGAATCCAGCCCTCCCTCCCCAGGCATTGGTGGGAGCGTCCCTGCTTTTGTTACAGTCAGGGGGCTTCTGGAAAGGACAGGCATCTTAGCGTGCTCAGTGAGTGCCTCTCTGCAGGGAGGGATGAGTCCCAGATCAGTATGGGTGGCCATACTCACTGAGCGACCACCTGGACAGTCCTGCGGCCTCGTATGGCTTGTAGGCATTTAGAGGCAAGGCTATTCTCTTGGGCACTGGGCGCTGTTGGAAGACAGGTGTCGCCATCCCCCCTGCCCTCCAGCTCTGCGGCTTGGACCGAATCACTTTCTCTCTGGGCCAATGAAGGGGAGATGAGTGGATCCTAAGGGTCTGCTCTGCTAGTCTGGGTTTTCCCTGGTTGTTACTGCTCCCGCCAGATAAAGGAAACTGACTTTGGAAATGAAGAGACGTCTGGGATTTTGCTTGTGTTGAACTGGCCCCTGGCTAAGCTCCCAGAGGGTGTTTGGACAGCCACTCAGGTGTCCTGTGCCATATGGACCCCGTGCGGATCACTTCATACCCACAAAATCCACTCAGCCAGGTTCCTGACACTGCCTCTGCTCTGAGCAGAAGCCTCTCTGGCATCTAAGTGACTAAGTGACTTGGGGACTGGGTTAGTTTCCTATTACTGGCATAACAAAGTACCATAAGCTTAGTAGCATATAACAACAAAAATTGATTCTCTCACAATTCTGAAGTCAGAACTCCAAAATCAGTCTTAAAGCCAAGGTATGAGCAGAAATTTTTCTCCAGAGGGTCCAGAGGACTCTGTTCCCTGGCCTTTTCTCTTTGAGGGAGAATGCCTGCGTTTCCTTGTTCCAGCCCATTCTTCCACCTTCACAGCCAGCAGCAACACATCTGCCCTTCTCTCTGACCTCTGCCTCTGTCCTTGCATCTTTTCATTCAGGATCCACCCCTTCCCTGCACCTTCCAGGGATCCTTGTGATGACCGGGCATACATGGATAATTTCAGGATAATCCCCCATCGCAGGAGCCTCAATTTAACTACGGTCATGTGAGGTAACGCTCATGGGCTCTGGCTCAGCACATGGATCTCTCGGGTGGATCATGATTCAGTTATCTGTGCCATTTCCGAAGCTAGACTTAGGAAGAAGGGCAGACCGAAATGCCTGTGTTGGAAGGGGCCATGGTACTGGTGTTCTAGGTGGGCAACTGTGTACCTGCTTGTGTGTTTAGCTACACGGCAGCAAAATCCATTCATTCCCTCAGTGTATTCAGGGGCTCCCTTTTGAACTATTTGGGGGCCTTTGCCCTCCATAGAAATGTGAACTCACAGATGTCTGTGTCACCTTGAATTCCCAGGTTCTGATAAGCCCTGACCTTTAGCTCCCTTCTTCCCGCTCTCCACGGCAGTTACTGAGCATTCTACCAAGTGCAAGGCAGTGTGTTGGAAAGATGTGAGCCTTCCCCAGGCATAGTCCCTTCTTTCGTGGATCTTGATTTTTCACACAGTTGGGAAAGGGTAACAACATCATTTTTATCTGGCTCCGAAGTGTGTTTTGTACTTGTATTCGAGTGTGGGTGTGCCTGGTGTTCTGGGAACTCACTTCAAACAAAACAGGGAAATGGCTCATGAAGATATACTGGATGATCACTATATGCATCTAAATTTTAAGTTATTAACTCTTGCAGACTAGGAATTTTGGATTTTAAAAAATAAAATGAGGTGTCTTTTCTCCAATGCCTAAGATTTGGGTTCAAGAGAGGTATTTAGCTCTAAGGATTTATGTGAAATCCACTTCTTATGGCTGAATGAAGTTGGACACCAGAAGAACTTGCTAGATGAACTTGGGCATGGTGACAGACACCTGTAATTCCAGGACTCCGAGTGGCTAAGGCAGAAGGGTTTGTAAATTTTGAATCCAGCCTGGGCAATTTAGTGATTTGGTGAGACCCTGTCTCAAAATAAAACATAAAAAAAGGCCTGGGGTTGTAGCTCATTGAGAAGGCCTTGGGTTTAATCCCAGAACCATGAAAGACCTCTCCACCTTCCAAAGAAGAACCTTGTAGGCAAGTTAGAGGAACACAAGAGAATATGGTGAGTGCTCTTACTTCACGCTGGATCTCAATGGGAAACTTCTGTAACCTGACCACACTCTGAAAAGCATTTGTTTCCCACAGCTGACCTACAAATACCCAGAGTGCTTGGCTTCAAATCCCTCCAAGACAAAGGGAATCTCCAGCTCCCTCCAGCACAAGTTTAGAAATGCAAGTTTAGAAAATCCAGCTGACTTCTCTGGGAAAAACAAAACCAACCTCGTCTTACTCAGGTCCTGGAAACCAAATTGCCACCTCATCATCGCCTTGTCAGTAAGGACATTGTGTGTGCTGCACAAACCTGAGAGGAAGGGTTGGCCCTGTGTAGCCAGGGTTTTGAGTTAAGCTTCATTGCTCTTCTAAAGCTCAGCTATTTGATACTACACAAGCCAAAATCCATCATGGGATGCAAGCATCCTCCTCTGCCTTCTGTGTTCTTGTCTGCCCCCTGTGCTGCTGCCGTGATTTATGGGCACACTGCCGTCCCCACAGCTTGGCTACAGCCAGACAACACACCTCCCCCTGCTTCTACCCTCCGGAGGAGAAAAGGTCCGAAACCACCTTTAAACTTGGCTCTCTTCTTCCCCAGTGTGTTCAAGCGCATTCTGCCCATTCTGCCCTGGAAATGTGCAGAGCTGCTAACCAGGTGTCTCTGTAACAACTTACAACTAGTTTTTAATTTTTTCGCACAAATCAGAAAGAGTGATGAAGTCATTTTTGTCTGGCTCTGAAGTGTGTTTTGTACTTGTATTTGAGTGTGGGTGTGCCTGATGTTCTGGGAACTCATTTCACACAAAGCAGGGAAACAGCCCAGGAAGATGTACCTCCTCCAGGCTGCTGGGAGGCTTGTCCGGCACTTCTTTTCTGTTCAAAGCCTGAACTCGGCAGTCCTGAGTGTTCACCGCGTGGTCACCTAATCCCTCTGAGCTTAGGTTTTTGCCTTGCAAAACAGGTGAACTGGAGAGAGCAAAAGAGAGGACAGGAAGCTCGCAGCATTTGACAGCAGTCTTTCCTCTCCTCTTCCTCCCCTCTAGCACTGCTCCTCTTCTAATGCAAAGCATAAACCAAAGGGCAGATCTCTGCTCTCTGTCCTGAGTGTCTGCAAAGCGGGCCAAGTGTGATGCGCTTGTCCCCAAAGCGGGAGAGGTGTGACATGCCTCCCTCTTTCCTTTCTTCCCCGGGCCTTTGCCCAGCCTCTCTGTTTTGGCTTCATTATTGCTGCATTTTTATTGTACAATGTGAGGGCCCATGGAGACGAAAGGGTCCCAGCTGTGTGTTCCCACCCCACCCCCTTTCTGAGCGGGCTGATCGTGCACCCCGATTGTCCATGGCGACCGCGATTTCAGATGTCACAGTCCCCCTCCTTCACGTTCAAATGTCCGGCAGCTCCAGCTCACCAGCATCTCACCTCTACTTCCTGCTTTCGCCCCCTTCCCACAAGGGAGCCAAAGCCCCAGAGAATGTGGTCTTCCTCCAGAACCTTGGCTGAGGTAACCACGCGGCCCAGACTCTCTGGGAAAGCCTGCCCGCTTCCAGACCGTGATTCGGTCCAGAAAACACTGTCACCAGCCAGTGCCGGCCACGTGGACGGCGCTTGTCAGATGGAAGCCGTCACCTCTCTGTCTCCCAGTGAGATCGTGAGAGCTGACCCTGCCTGTTACGACCTCAAATTCAGTTTTTTTCCACTTGTAACTTTTGGGTTTATTCTGTATACTAGTGCTGTTTAAGAAGGGGGTTATTCTTGGATGTGAAATGACCACAGGATAAGTATGCTTGACATAAATAAATATATATAATCATATATATACATATATATATATATATATATAATTTATTCTCTGTGTGATTTTGAAGCTTGCTTTTTTTCTGTTGACATTTAAGCCTATGGATTTTCTCATGTCAATCATGTAAATTTTGGGGATTTTTTTTTTCTCTATAACTGATGACCTTACCAAATTCAAGATAGTGCTTAGCCAGGTATGGTGGCACACACCTGTAGTTCCAGCACCTGGGAGGCTGAGGCAGGAGGATCATGATGAGATCAAGGCCAAACAAACAGTAAACAAAAACCCCCATGACAATGAAAGATAGTGTTTCTCATTGGCAGTGTTGGGGAAAGGGGTTAGGAGGGTAGAGGAGCCACCATGGTGGGGGGCAGTTAGCACGTTGGGATGTTTTCTGTCTTCGGCTTGGTGCTGGGTACACATGGACAGCTTTAATGTGATGTGTTAAACACAACTAATACGTGTTAAATACAAGTAATCACCTGATGCTTCACTGTGTAGCTGTGTCGTACGTTACTCAGATCTGGCCCTACTCCCCATTCGTGATGTTTGTAATTTTCACTGTTGGACTCTTAAGTAAGCAGTTAGTGTTAAGCATCTTCAGGATCGAGTCTGTCTAGGAGAGATTTGTACAACTGAGTTACTGGGTCCAAGTACAGGACTGCAGCGAATGCACTTCACCAGGCTGCCTCTCAAAGCTCTGTCATTCAGACTCCTGCTGGCCTTGTGTCTCTGCCTTCTAATCTCTCCAACACTGATTGCAGTTATTTTTTTAAATATCAGTTATTTTACTAGGCAAATATTGTTTCTAATAATTTTAATTTATGTCTCTAATTGCCGAAGAGGTCGAACATTGTGTCATAGTGCACTAGAGAGTGCAGTTTTGGTTTTCTTCAGCGTGTGCCTGCACGTAGGAGCTCCTGGGGAGGGGGCTCTTGTATGTGTGGGAGGGGCCACAGATGAACAAAAGCGGTGCTGTTCCCTCCTTGAGAACCAGCCATGCATCTAGACATCTTGTCTTCCTGCAGTGCCGCCAAACTCCTGGACAAGACCCCGTTCTCAGTCCGTAACCCGAACCCTCTGCTCCCTTCGCCTGCCAGTCTCCAGCTGGCCCAGCTGCAGGCCCAGCTCACCCTCCACCGGCTGAAGTTGGCACAGACCGCTGTCACCAACAACACTGCAGCTGTCACAGTCCTGAACCAAGTCCTCTCCAAAGTGGCCATGTCTCAGCCTCTCTTCAACCAGCTGAGACACCCAGCTGTGCTCAGCGCCCCCCACGGCCCTGCTGCAGTGCCCCAGCATGCTGCAACCATCGCCGGCACGCGGTTCCCCTCGAATGCAATGGCCTTCTCACCTCCCAGCCAAACACGAGGCCCAGGACCCCCTGTGAGCCTCCCCAGCCAACCTCCCAGTGCCATAGTGGTGCATCCTTTCAGTGGGGTGATGCCCCAGACCCCTGCCCAGCCAGCAGTCATCCTGGGCATTGGCAAGGCTGCGCCTGCTCCGGCTACTGCGGGATTCTACGAGTATAGCAAAGCCAACCCCAGCCAGGCATATGGCTCCGAAACAGATGGTCAACCTGGCTTCCTGCCAGTCTCGGCCTCCGCCTCGGGCAGCGTGACCTATGAAGGGCACTACAGCCATGTGGGGCAAGATGGCCAGGCTGCCTTTTCCAAAGACTTCTATGGACCCACTGCCCAGGGGTCCTCTGTGGCAGGGGGATTTCCAGCTGAGCAGGCAGGGGGCATGAAAAGCGAGATGGGGCCTCTGCTGCAGGGCGCAAACAGCCAGTGGGAGAGCCCTGCCGGGTTCTCTGGGCAAGGCAAGGCTGATCTTGCAGCAGCTCCCAACCTGTGGCCTCCACCCCCCGGCCAGCCCTATGAACTGTACGACCCTGAAGAGCCCACCTCAGACAGGACCCCCCCTTCCTTCGGGGCGCGGCTCAACAACAGCAAGCAGGGTTTTGGCAGTGCACGGCGGGCCAAGGAGGACCAGGCCATGCTGTCTCTGCGGCCCTTGCAGGCTCAAGAGCTGAACGATTTCCACGGTGTGGCGCCCCTCCACTTGCCGCACGTCTGTAGCATGTGTGACAAGAAGGTGTTTGACTTGAAGGTGAGTCGCCCGGGACGGATCGGGAGCCTCGCCTAAAACCTTGGGGCTCATGGTGGAGAAACTGAACTTTGCCCTCGGTCCCCTTGATTAAAATCACTGATATTAGAACCCAGAGACATTTTGGAAATGTGTCATGGCCTTGCTTTAAGGCAAGTAGGAGATTCCTCCCCCATCTATAGGTGAGGAAGTTGAGCCTGAGGGGCAGGGCTGGAGCAACCCCATGTGCGCTGCACAGAAGGGCTCAGGACCCGGGCTCCCACCTCTGGGTGAAGGCCTTTCCCTCTGTGATCGCTGCTGTTCCTTGAGTACAAGTGTTGTACAGAGTTTGAAAGGAAGAAAAGTGGTGGTGGTGGGGATTTGGGATCAGAGGCAAGAGAGCAATTTGCGGGTGAGACCAGACAAATTATTACAGAGGCCCTTGGCTGCTATGTCTGCAGTGTGCAGAGACTCACAGCACTTTCCCAGGGGCAGTAAAGTACTTCAGACAGCTGCAAACAAAAGTCCATTATAGTATAGTTTTCCCCAAAACGTGTACTCATGGTACAATAAGATATTCCAAAGCAATGATTGTAATAGCTGTCGTTTGAAGCACTTCCTGTGCCAGCAGGGATTCTGGGAGGCGGCTGCCCTACTGCTCTTGTCCTCCCTTCACAGACAAGGAAACTGAGGCTGAGAGTAGTGAAATCACTCGCCTGGAGTCTCCTACCCAGGCAGTGCAGAGTGGAGATTCAAATGTGGGGTGTAGCTTGCCTGGCATCTGAGAGGCCCCGGGTTTGATCCCCAACACTGGGGAAAAAGCAGAAACGAAAAGACACAAATGTGGACCTGAGCCCGCACACCTTTGGCACCGGCTGTCTTGCTCCCTATCTCCTGTCCAGGCTCAGAGCTTAGTGAAGTCCCTGCCCAGTGGAAGACACGATACAGCTTGGCGTTCGCTCCCACCTGGTTGCATCCCCTAACCTCAGGGGGTCGTACCCTTACCTCTGGTCCAGGGAGAAGACTGGCTGGCTCGGGAAGGCGGCCCAGGACTTTGTATGTCCCAAGCCTTTTCTGAGCCTTTATAATTCACACAAATCTGCCTGTCAGCACCCCCCGCAACTGGACACCGAAACGTATGGGGTCTCTGTGCAGGACAGGACAGGCAAGGGCCAGGTCCCAGGGTCCACTGAGAGGAAGGGGAGTCTGCCTGAGTTTTGGGCTGCTGTCCAATATGGCTGCAGGGAGCGAGGCTGAGAGAACAATGCAGTGAAGGCCGGATGGGCAGCCGGGAACAGGGCAGGAGGAGGGAGAGGGCCAGGTGTCCACAGGGCTGGTCCAGCCTTGAGGCTCCATGCTCCCTGTGTCCTCCGCCTCCCGGTGGTGGATTCATTTCTGCTTTGGTCATTTTTTCCTTCCTTTGCACTAGGACTGGGAGCTGCATGTGAAAGGGAAGCTGCACGCGCAGAAGTGCTTGGTCTTCTCTGAAAAGTAAGTGCCGCCCAGGAGAGCAGGCCCGTGCATGCACCCAACAAGCATTCACCGAGGACCCGCGGTGCATCGTGCTCTGAGCGGGATGTGGGGGAGCCATGGAGCACAAACGGGCAAAGTTCCCGGCTCTGGGAGCTTACACACAGCAAGGGAGAGACGGGTCACGCAGGAGACAAAAGGATAGTAACACTCCTGGTGGTAAATGTGAGGCAGAGTGATGCTGGGCAGGGGTGGGGAAGTGTGTGTGTGTGTGTGTGTGTGTGTGTGTGTGTGTGTGGTGTGTTCACGCATGTGCACGGGGCTGGTCTTTGCCTTTAAATAGGGCAGCGGGGAGAGACCTCACTGAGGGTGCCTGAGGAGGGGGTGAAGGGAGCCCATGGCTGTCTGGGAAGCATCCGGGCAGATGGGACAGCAGGTTCGAAGGCCCTGTGATCAGTGTGGACTTGGGATGCCAGGCAATCTCCAGTGTGACCAGGGCAGAAAGACAGGGAAAGGAGCTGGGGAAGCACAGGCCCAGGTCCAGAGCTCTTGGTGGTTGGAAGTCTTCTGGGTTTGCTTTGAGTGTGGCTGGAGCTGCTGCAGGGCTGAGCAGAGGAGTACTAAGCTTAGGATCCCAGCTCCAGTGCTGCACAGAGCTGCTGGGGTGGGGGCACGGGCAGAACCCACAGGCCAGTGAGGAAGTGGAGAAGAGATTGTCTGGCCCAGAGGTGGAGAACAGACACCTGGGGCTCAATGTTTTGAGTCATGTTCCTTCAAAATGTGTGCCTCCCCTACTATTCACAGTAGTCCACAGGAGGCAACCAACACGCCCATAGGCAGAGCAAGGGATAAACATAGCATGGAATATTACTCGGCCTTGAAAAGGAAGGGAATTCTGACATATACTATAACATGCTTGAATCCTAAGGATGTTGTGTTAAATGAAATAAGCCAATCACGAAAGGACAAGTACTGTACATTTACCATTTGTATGAGGTATTTAGAGAGGACAGAGAGAAACAGAAAATATAGAAAGTGATTACCAGGCTGTGGGAGGCTGACTGCAGAGTTGTGTTTAACAGGGACAGAGTTTCAGTTTTGCAGAGTTGTGGAGAGGGAGCTGCTCACAGCGACACAACAGCATGAATGTGCTTAATGCCACTCAACTGTACAATTAAAACTGGATAAGGTGGCCAGGGATTTAGCTCAGTGACACCGCGCCTGTCTCACAAGTGCAAGGTCCTAAGTTCGATCCCCAATACAAAAGCAAAACAAAACAAAACAACCAATTAACAACAAAACAGACAGAAACGGATAAGATGGTGAATGTATGTGATGTACGTTTTGCCACAATTTAACAAGCAGTTTTCACAAAGACCCCTTTGTTTGGCTCCCTCTTTTTTTTTCATTGTGCTAAAATCCGCACAAGCATTTTAATCATCTCTAACCGTCTTCAAGCTCACAGTTCAGTGGGATGTAGCACAGTCCTGAGGCTGTACAAATGTGTCTGAGCACCTTCCTCTTGCTCACCCCGCTCAGTAGTCCCTGGCCTCGCACCCTCCCACTCTCCCGGCCCCTGGGAGCCCTCTGCTCTGTCTCCCAGGATTCGCCTCTTCTGAACATTTCATGTGAAAGGAATCATGTATCATGCGGCCTTCCGTGGCTGGCTTTTACACCTCAGTGTAGTATTTCGACGGCTCCTTCCCATCATGGCACACACAGCCCTCATACTCTGCACTTTCTTGTCCATTCATTGTCTGATGGGCGTTCGGGTTGTTTCTGCCTTGGCCATTGAGTGGCGCTGCTGTGAACAGTCACTTGCAAGTTTTTGTCTGTGCACCTGTCTTCTCCTGTCCGGGTCTAGGCCCAGGACGGGGATTTCTGAGCTGCGTGGTGAATTCTCACTGAACTTAGTATCTGGCCCCCCTTCTCACCCTCTGCAGTGCCGGCATCCGGTGTGTGCTCGCTTCAGCAGATGGAACTCTGTGCGCCTCCCCCAGCAATGCAGCTGTGTATAACCCGGCTGGGAACGAAGGTAAGGTCAGGGCTTACAGCAGAAATCAGCCCTGCAGGCTCATTGTGTCCTGCCTTGAAGACCGGATCTGCCTTCCTATGCATGCGTGGGGCAGACAGCACAAGGCCCCACCCCGAGCCAGGCCTCCCCTGTGCTGTCCTGCACGCGTGAGCCATGTGGCTTTGCTGATCACTTTCCCAGAGGTGGTGTCTCACCACTTGCTACTGAATGTGTTAGAGGAAATTCTCTCTTTTGTCATGCATGGCCTCATCATGACTTTTAAAGGTCACAGTCATCATTGGGTCCTCACCTGGCTTGTGTCATTTGTGATCCAGATTATGCCTCAAATCTCGGGACGTCTTTTGTGGCCAATCCAGCAAGGTCCTTTGTCCATTCGAATCCTACACTTCCGTCGGCTGCCTCAGGGACAAGTGTGAGTAGGCGCATTTTCTCCACTGTCTGTGTCATCCCCACAGCACCTGTGTCACCTGCTGTGTCTTGGCTGGGGTGGAGCTGTGCAGATAGATGTGGCTTTATGGCCATCAGAAAAGTGACCCTCGATAGAGGTCGTGAGTGCTGTGTTCGGTCCACAATAGCCCTGAAACGTGTGGCTGAAAAGCTGACATCAAGTCTGACATCAGAGGCACTCACTGCCTTCCTAACATTCAACACTGGTGTAGACAAAAAAGCTTGAGCCTTTGTGTTTTAAGTTGGATTTTTGATGTTTTCTGGAATAGCCCCTTCTGTGAGAGCGTCATCCTGATCCAGGGAGCAAGTGTGTTTGACAGTAAGGGCCCCACACTAGTGCCCGCTGCCCCTTGGGAAGCAGTTGGCTGGCACGAATTCTTTTTGTTTTCTGTCTTTAGTTTTGTTCTTCCCTGTAAATGATATGCACTTAGTCCCCCAAAGCCCTAAAGTTTTATTTCCTTTTCCCACCGGTAGTGGCAACGCCTGTTGTCTCTTTAGTTTTGCATGTTTTCCCACTTACCGGCCACAGTGGGCACAGGAGGGCTGGTGGAGGGAGGTAACAGGGCAAAGCCTGCTCCAGAAGGGAGCACTCTGGACTCTGAGCAGCGCCTAGGGGTGTCTCAGCCTGGACCTGTTTTTGATTTGCGCTCTTTGCAGCTGCAGCCTCTGTCTGTCCCCTCAGTATGTAGCGTGCTTTGCTTTTCAAAGTGGGGCTCCCAAGCTGCCCTCCACATGTCCAGAGCACTCCTGGAAACCACGGAGAAGCGAGCGGTGAAGTGCAGCTTCCAGGCCCTGGGAAGGAGGGAGTGGAGAGACACGGCGGTGTCAGCTCTGAGCTCTGTCCCGGGCCTCATCCTCACTCTGCACAGACCATAGAGCCAGGCACCTGGGTTCCAGTCCTAGTTGAGAGCTCCGGGCTGTGTGGCCTCAGGCAGGCCCTTCCACTACTCTGAGGCTCTGTTCCTTAAACAGGGATAATTCCCCAGCTAGTGACTTTAGGGGTGAAATAAGTAAGTGTCCACCTGGTTTGTGTCATTTATCAGCTTGATCCTGCCTCAAGCCTTGTAAAATCAGATGTGGGCTTTGGCAGTTCTGATCGCAGGGCCATCGTGCAGGCTGGGTTTGGGGCTCAGTAAGGACCGTAGATCCAATGCAGCTTTGTGAACTGTTCCATGCGTAAGAAGTGACAGCAGCTATTCCAGAGCAAGGTGTCCTTCCGAGCCCTTTCAGCTCTGAAGGGCATGGGGACAGCGCCATGGCCAAGGCCGACTCTAAGGCGAGCTGTGCAACTCCAGCTCAGTCTCAATTTCCCCTGTACCTGTCTGTCTGGAGGCACCTGGAGTCATGTCTGCTCCCCTTCGACGTTTCCAGGTCCTCATAACAGCACTTAGAATTCAGCATATGCCAGGCACGCATGAGCAACTTGATGATCTGTGCTAACGATGACTTGTGATAATTGATGTTAATATGCAAAAGCTCTGAGTACAGCTTCATCCTTTTTGCCTAGATGTGGGAAATTTATATAAAAAACTTCTTATAAAACTTTTTGCTTGCTGCGTGGAGAGCTAGCAGAAGGGCCCCGACATTGCAGGAAGATCCTAACAGCAGTAGCTAACATTTCTATGGTGCTTAGTAAGTTCTCAGCATTTTGTATCAGGTTAGTACATTTAAACCCTCCAGGCAAACTCATGATGTGGACACTGTGTGACCCTTATTGTCCATGGGAAACTGAGGCACACAGAAGCTTATTACCTTGCCTAGGGTCACGGGGCTGGTGAATGGGGCAGGTTTGCCCCAGGCAGCCTCAGTTTCCCTGCCGAGCCCCTGCCCCTCTGAGGATCTCAGGGTCCTCTTCTTCTCAGTAAACCCTCCCCCTCTGCCCTCTCACTCTCCCACAAGCTGCCACGGAGGTCCTGAGACTACCCAGGGTGGCAGGGACTTCCCTGACCTTGGCCAGCCATGGAGCGCACTGAAGAAGGGTCCAGGCAGCCAGGCTGTCCGTGTTCTTCTGCCTGGTGTCCGCCAGCCTGAACGCGGGTTCATGCTGTTGATTACACGGGCCTTCTCTGGGGTGTCTGGGGGACAAGGACAAAGCCTGCCCAGCCAGATCCTGCATTACAAGTGGCCTGATGTTCATTTACTCACAACCACGTGTCAGATGCTGGTGCCCTGTTGGCCATTTCTGGCTAATGGAACTGAAGACAGGTATAGTACACTGCTCTTTTGAAAAGCACAGACATCCACAGGTGAAGACAGGCTGAGAGATGAAGAGCTGATCACAGCTCCTATGCTGCTGCACAGCCCTTTTCGAGGCCTCCTGAAGGAGCAGGAGAGCCGCTCAAAGTCTATTGACTTTCTTCTCTGCCTGCAAAGGCCGATCTCCCGAGGTAGTGGATCCCTCAAAGGGTCACTGCCTGCTAATGAGACATTGCTGGCTCCAACAAGAGCCAATGAACTTTGAATAATATTTTTCTTGCCTACAAACTCTATGCTTATTGTGAAAAGTTGAACAGAAAAGAAATTCTTAATGAAGAGAGTGAACCTCCCCTTCCGAGATCACTCGAGGATTCGGACTCCTTTTCTTCCACAAATGTCTTCTAGTCTTTTGCCAAAGCCTTCTCTGCCTGATTCCATTCAAAGTACATCTTTTCAGAAACGTCTTGTGGAGTAAAACCAGGTGCACTGTGACCTGCTATTGTTGTGCAGCAAAGAGTCGCACACTGCTCCTGAGGGCCCTGCGTTTAAGCAGAAAAACAAAGTGACCTGGGGCTCAGGGAGTGAGACGCGAAGCACATCCCTACTCCCACAAAATCTGAGATGACTTCAGAAGCCATCTGCCACCACCAGGGAGCCTCCTCTGGTGACAGCTGGGCTGAATGTAGACTCTCCTGCTCCCTGCTGGAGCCCTGCTTTTCCTCTGAGTTTGTTTTTGACTGAGATGGGCCATGACTGCAGCGCCACTATTGTGTGCTGTGTTTGCTGGCAGCAGGGGATTTGTTTCTGTCCCCAGCCTGTCCCACCTCACCCCAAAGTCCCCAGGGTGGGTGTCTGTCCCCTTTCACTCAAGCTGCTGCCATTTGACTCAGCCGAGGGTCCCTCTTCTTGGCCACCTTAGTTGTCATAAACAAAGCAGTCAGGTTTCTGGAAGGGTCACGGGGCCTTCTCGGGCTGAAAATAGTCTTTTTGTGGCTGTCCAAGATGTGCTTTGCCTGTGACTGTTACCATGAAGTGGTCTTTTGGCTTTCAGTGCCACCCTGGGGCTCGTTCCCTGCTGGTGTCCCGGGTAGAGATCTCTGGACTGAAAAACTGCATCTCTCTTAAGACTGCTTTCTCACCAGCGCCTGGCATGCCAGGGACTTGTGTAAATAAGGGAACTGAGGCTCAGGAAGACACAAATGTCAGTGGAAGGTCAGGGTTTTGAGCTCAGATGCTGGCTGTTTCTAGAACATCTGTCTGTCTGGCCAGGTCCGAGGCCAGGGCCCAGCGCACCGTGGCCCCAACTGAAGGTGAGGCATGGTACATGGGGTGTTCTGTGTACCCGCCCCTCCGCACACCACCCCTGCAGCTCTGTCACTGCTCTGGTCCTGTCGGCGGGGGTCACCTTGTACATTTGCACAGAGGGAGACAGGGACGCTGAATGGATTTTATTTTCTGAGTTTTTTTCCCTCTATAAAGCTTTATTTATTTTTCTTATAAAAGTAATACAAACATGATGTCAAAAACATCTAACATTTAAAAATAGAAAATCCCACTATATTAAAGAAAAAACACTGGGGTCCCGAGTTCGATCCCCGGTTCCAAAAACAAAATGGAACAAAACAAAACACTGAAGGTAAACATCTTTTGCTCTATCTCCAGCTAGTACATGTGTACATGTTTAATGCATTAAGTACAATTTTGTAAAAATCAGATGCCATATCATATATTACATAGCTTATTTTTTACTTAAGTTTTTAATACACGTTTTAATTGATCTGTAGATACCATCCCACATCAGAACATAAAGCCCTGTTTTACTTTGTAACATCATTTATTGTGTGTTTACTATGATTAATGAAGTCTGATTGATTCATTTTTTATTGAGACCTGAGTTTTAATTGCAAATCTGCCACAATTTAACTGACCAGAGAGTAAGTAGTTCTTCATCTTCTCCCAGGCTTCAGTGCCTTTTTATACTGTGATGGGTGTGGGCCTGAAGACCTTGAGTTTTATGACAACATTTTATGACAGAACTTTACAGGACAAATTGCGAAGCACGTGACGCCCAAGATCTACAAGCAAGTCTGGAAACAGTCACAGTGGATTCACTTTAAGTCAAAGCTCAATCAAATATTTGAAAAGGAGAACAGAAACATCTGTGTCTACCCTCCAAGTTAATCCACTCTCCGTGGCTGTGAAATCCCATCTGTATATTATGTTGGGAATCATCACCGTAAGGAGTAAACATCTGCCCTGGTCTGTCCTTGAGTGTGTAGCACACAGCTAGAGCCTCAGAGTCTGTGCTGGATGGAATTAGGTCACCCAGAGGGATCAGACTGGAGAATGGACATCGTTTCCTGGAAATCAGATCTGTACTCTGTACCTGTAGGAAGCCTGTTGAGAGACTTCTCTCCCTGCAGGCCAGCTAGCCTGAGCCACAATCCTGACCGTGACTCTTGAGTTATTTGAACTGGGTTTCTTCTCCGAACTCATGACAAAGCCTGTCCATACCTGCAACCGAGGGCGCTGAAAGGTCTCAAAATCTTTACATACAAGTCTGTTTGCTCCCTTTACAAAGCTGTAAAAGACTTGTGGGTAAGCTGAGAGGCATGGGACCCAGCTGTGTGAACTATGAGAAGCAGCACCTGGCTTAAACTGGGAGCTCTAACAAGAGAAAACATACAGCCTGTGCCTCTGCTCGCATGTGGGGGCATTCAGGTGAGTGACAGGGCGCAGCCTCTGCAGCTAGGAAAGGATCATGGTCCC